CTGCCGATAACACATTATTATGAAGATCTAACTTTAATTTATATATTTTTATTTTTCCTAACAAATCGAGAGCCCATTGTATCTTTAGTGAAACAATCTGATATAGGGATTCTAAATCACTGCTTAATTAATCGATAATTTAACTTTAAAAAGACTTGAGGCTTAATATAAAAATTTAGTGTCCACTTTAGGTGTCTAAATTTTTTTTTGGTCAAGGTAGATTGCTTAACATTTTCTCCATTGCAATTTTAAATGTCTTGCCTGTTGGGACTGATAAAAAAACATGTCATCCATTCAAACATAACACATGACACACTTATAAATTTTTTAAAATATTATTTTAGAAAAACTTAAACTTATTATTATTTTTCAAAAAAAAAACCCAAATTTTCTTTATAATCTCAAAAGTACCCCTAAATCCTAATCTCAAAACATTAACTTCTTTGTTGACCGTCCTCTGCCACTGTTACCCCTGCCAGCTGTCTACACGCAATATCACCATATCCTTACCATTATCCACAATCCCTAAATCACAAAATTCAAACTTTAAATCCCTAAATCCCAAGACTCAAATTCTTGATCTCCAATCAAATTACAATCTCAGGTCTCAACAGTGTTGCTAGCTAGGAAACTTCGCTCGTTGATGTTATCGTTACGTTGAGGATGAGTGTTAATCAAAAGTGATGACTGGTGTTAATCCCAATCATATTGTAATTTACAATCATTAACAAAACGTGGATGGTTGCAATCCCTAACAAAACGTGGATGGTGGATAACAAGTGAGTGGGTGATCACTAACTGTGATGGTGGTCGATAACAAAATGAGTTTTAGGGTAAGGGATTTTGGTGTATTTTGTGAAAAATAAGAAAAGTAAGATTATTTTTAATTTATGAATTTTATTTTTTTTAAATAAAGGAAATTATGAATTAAGTCATATATCAAACACTGATCGATTGATTCTTAACAAACATTTCTAATAGTCATGACAGATCAAACACTTAAAATGATAATGCCAAAAACGTTAAACACCTACCTTGACAAAAAAAAACCTTTAAAGTGAATAAGAGTTGTATATTTATTTTTTAAATCATTCAATCAATTAATTGAACTAAATTTTAATTCAATTAATTAATTCTATTAAAACCATAGAATAAATCCCCTTATTTAATATTTTAAAATAGTTCACTCGTGTTTATTTCATACTAAAAGTCTATTCAAAGGGATCATATGGAATATAGATAGCTTGAGCCATAAAGAAAAATATCATGAGATTCTTGTGTTGGGAAATGCATGCAACTTGTAGGCATTATCCTCTGAAGTGGACAAAGGTCTATCTTAATACTTCCGTCCCTACTCTTGAATAAATAAATATAAATTTTATATATGTTTATCCTTTCGTCCAATCATTTAACATAATAGAAAGTTACAATTTATTGGTCAAAATTCAAAGTTAGCACATTGATGATATCCAATTTCAACTCTTTCGCGCGTGCTATTTAAACTGTTGGCTCAACGGCTATACGTATTAATTGAGGCCTGTGTGGTTGATTTGAAAAGTCTGAATGAAGATTCAAATATGGTAAAACACGAAAGCACATTGATATTATTTAAATATGAAAGAATTTTGTTTAAAGAATCATTTACTAAAATTAAATATACGAAATAAATTGATATATATTAATCAGGATAAAATTTTAGGGAATCGGGAAGAAAACATAAAAAATATGTTAAGGGTCGTGTTATTATTTCAAAATTTGATTTTTATATATTATTTGTATAATGCTAAGTTTTTATAGTATTTCTTATGTGAAAATTCAGATCTCTTAATTTATATTTAATTTTCTTATTGACTATTGATTTAATGAATACAAAAAGATATTTATTTTAATTTTTTATGTTTATAATTTTATTTAATTTTTATTTTTTAATATTAAATAAAAAATAATCATTAATGGAGCGAAATATTTTTTTCAATCAAATTATATTTAAAATTTGAAAGTTAAATTAATACAATTATAAATATAAAAGATTAAAAATTTATTTTACTTTATTACAATTATTTTGTTTTTATAACATGTCAACGATTAATAATAAAATTAAATAAATATTTAAAAATATTTAAAAGTTCTCAAATAAGAAATAGGCTTAATATAAAAATAAGTGCCTAAATTATCTATTTTCTCATTTAGGTGTCTAACGTTTCCAATATTATCATTTAGGTGGCTACGACATAACGAACGTTAAAAAATCATTAAAAGTAAGTCAACCAATCAATATTTGACATGTGAATTGATTTTTATTTCCTTTAATTCTTTTAGAAAATAAAATTCATAATTATTTTTTAAAAATTCTCAATTTTTTTTATTTTTCATAAAATACCCAAGATCTTCAATTCGTCTGTCGATCACTACCGCCTTTCACGACCATCTACTCAATCGCTGACCACTCACTCGTCGGCCACCCTTTAACTGTTCACATGTCGATTGGGATTAATTTTGTTGAGATTTAGGAGATTTGAAACTACGATTGAAGGCCGACAACGGGTGGGCAAGCAAAGGGTGTGGTGGATATTTTAGGATTAAGAATTTTGAGATTTTAAAAATATTTTAGGGTTTTTTCTGAAAAATAATAAAAGTTTTAATTTTTTTAAAAATAAAATTTTTAAAAATTAATAAAGGCACCACATGTCACATTTTAAATGGTTGATGGAAATTTTTTAGTGTCTATTACAGTCGAGATGCATAAATGATAACATTAGAAACGTTAGATACCTAAATTAATAAAAAAATTACCAACTAAATGAAAAATGTATAATTTGAAATTCTTTTAGATTAAAGCTAAAAAATAAGATAATCAATTCACTTATAAGAAAAATTAAATTTTATAATAAGACAAAAAAATTGTACGTATCTAAACCTGGAATAAAATATAAGTAAAAAAAATAGAGGAATATTTAAGGACGGCGACTTTCTTTTCATTTCGGTCGTGACTTTCAATGGTAAAGAGATTATTTAGTTTTCTAAAAATACAATTACAAAGAACCCTAGAAAGATTCTATTCAAATTCCACTCAATGATTCGTGCGTGTTTTACACTCCCCGCAACTGTGAATCGGAAACAAATTTTAACGCGACTTGCATTGCATGGACCGCCGAAATACAGACGCTTTTGACTTATTGATTTTTATTATTTTTTTTGTCATAATCTATTTTATCTATTGAGTTTGGAAGATGCCAAGTCGAGTCTTTTATCTATACATTAATCAAAATTGTTTCTTTGATCAGAATTAATTTAAACAAGAGATATAATAAGATTGATTTAAGTGGTAAATAGTTTGATATCACTTAAGTCGGTGTTGAGTTTGAGTCATTGTGTATACAAAATTCTCCATTGGGAGACTTGCACACCATAACCAAGGCACAACTCGAGTCGGTCTAGATTAATCAAGACTAAGCCTTAGGAACCTGAACGATAAAAAATAAAATTAAATCACAGATGAATTGAAGGAGATAAATAATAATAATCATCCTTGAAAATTTTAATTTAGTATATATTTTATATATTTCTTTATATTTCACTTGATAATTAATTTTCGTTTATTAAAATTTTATAAATTTATTATCTCTTAATTTTTATTTTTATTTTAAAATTCACTCCTTAACATAGGGTCTTACATCTGCCACTGAATAAAATTTATATAAATCACAGTCGTAATTTACAATATATTTTTCATAAAAAATATTCCACCCTTTTAAAAAAATATCATTCTCTCAATAAACAAACTACCACTCCTTTAAAAGTTTATCTCTACCTTTTAAAAATATAACTTTCTCATTGAAAATATTAATATATATTAACTAAGATCTTTTCCATTATTTTCAATGATTTTGTACCTATATAGAATATAAGGTGCGTGACATACTATAGTTATTATAATAAGCAAAAATAAAATTAAGTATTTATGTTTTTATTGAATATATACTTATTTTTAAAAATAACGTTATTTTTGTGATTTTTTAATTGAAATTATTCGTTTAAAAATTTATATACATAGTATCTATAATAGTTAGTTAAAATTTATTAAATTAACATCTATCTTTATAATTTTTAAAAATTTATAACTAGTCTAATATCAATTGATCAAGTGAGACAAATTAAAAAACAAAACATCAAAATTTAAAATTTAATTATATTAATTTATTTAGTAAAATAAATGCCATCTACTATTTAAAAATTTCCTACTAAAATCTGCATACTAAGTTATTATTATTTATTTATCTTTCAAATAAATTACTACAACAAAAAGTAATCATCACCAAAAATGTACTTTTTTTAAATATATATATATATATATATATAATATTTTAAATAAATATTATTATTATTTAAAAAATTGTGTATAATGAATTCTCGTTTTATGTATAATACGCGTGAGTGAACCGGTGTCACAAATAAAATAAAATAATTTAATTGTAAAATTAATAAAAAAATAAAATTTGGGATATTTTTTTATGTATTATCCGGATCGACCCAGATTGCACACCTAGTTTTGGTAGGTGGATCTTGCTTAAACGATATCAGGTTGCTTACCATTTGAACCAACCCTCATTAATAAATTAAGGATATTTTTTATCTCTTAACTTACCTTCACATATACACATATTTTTTATAAAAAAATCATTTTTTAAAAATATCAATATCAAATGAAAAAATGCATATTTTATTTTATTTTAAAAAATACTCTCAAAGTGATTGACCTTTATTCTTATTTTAATATCTTTTTAATACTTAATAAATTTGTATTATTACAATAATACTGAAAAAATATTATTTATAATATAATTATAAAAATTATTATCATTAGATCTAAAATTAGGATTATTAACATTTACATTTTTCTTTTGTGTAGTAAAAACAGTGGTACGGGTAGGTAATAAACGGTAACAAAGCTGGGCAACAACTGTAACTCCGAAGCTTCTTCCTCATCAATTTCAAACCTCTTTATAGCAAGTTCCTATATTGAGCACAATTCAGATCTCTTTTCATTCATTAAAATCCATATATAATGATATCATAAGCTACCTTTTTTTAAAGCAAACCCAGAATTCACGTGCTACTTGTAAGTATATGCAACAGAATTATATGTTACTATATATACATGAAGGATAAAGATATTGTTTATGCTTATCATTATCATCATTGTAAATATATTTTCTGCACACGTTATTCATTTTTTACTGCTTTTTTTTTTTGGGGGGGGGAGTTGTGTGTTTCATGACTATATAAACTGCTCTAAGGTGTAATTCATCTGTGTGAAGGAAAAAAAATAAGGTATTTTGAGATGGGTAGGTGGAACGAGTTTGTTGGGGTTTTGTTGAGCATTGCATTGGTGGTGGTTGTGGTGGCAGTGGAAGGGTATCCGGCGGAGGATCTGGTGGTGAAATTGCCCGGTCAGCCGCGGGTTGGGTTTAAGCAATATGCTGGGTATGTTGATGTGGATGTAAATGCTGGGAGGAGCTTGTTTTATTACTTCGTTGAAGCTGATAAAGATCCTGACAAGAAGCCACTAACTCTCTGGCTCAATGGAGGTTTGCTTCCTTATTTTTCTCATTGTTTTCAAACTTTTGTTGCTTTGTCCGTTAAATTATGAGTTTTACTGTGAAATATGTTGCACTGCTGTCTGTTTTGACCCATGAGTACTTTCGTTCTTTGTTCTTTCACGGTATTCTAGCTGTTCTCTAACCTTTTTTTTCCCTTTGGGTTTGCTGTAGATGACTATTGTTGGTCTTCCTATTTACCTTTTCAAGATTCATTTTTCTTCTTCTCCCACTCGTTGTACTTTGGTTCCTTTTACCAATGCTTGGTATTATTAACTTATTTCTCGAAGAGTATATTTTGATATTTTCTTCCAATAGAAACCAACTGCATTAATACCTATGTCAACCGGATTTCTTCATTTGTCCCCCTAAAATACCAACATTTGATACCTATATTCCATGGATATTCAGAGTTCAGACATGGTATTAGAATATGATATTCCAAATATATGTATATGCTCGTATTCGCAGTGTCCTAATTCAGGGTGATAGAGCCTTCTTACTGCTACATTTTTCGTTCATGCTGAGGCTTATAAACCTCCAGAATTAAGAATTTATTCATGTTTAAAAGTGGTATTGAAAACTAGTTAAAATATATTGGGATTTGAGAGAGATTGATGGTATGTTGTGGTCCTGGAAATAGAGAGGTTCCTCTGTTGCCTGTTGCTATTCTTACCTTCAAATTCCATTTAGGGCCGGGGTGTTCCTCCGTTGGTGGGGGTGCTTTTACTGAACTCGGTCCATTTTATCCTCGAGGTGATGGCCGAAGCCTTCGGATAAACTCAATGTCATGGAATAAAGGTATAAAACATGTTCATTGCATTTAAATGAAATGAATTTCACTATCAGATTGTTAACAAATATATATATTGCCTCATTTTCCCCCTCACTTTCTTCACTTTCTTATCTTAATAGCATCAAACCTCCTGTTTGTTGAGTCCCCTGTTGGTGTAGGATGGTCTTACTCAAATACCTCTTCGGATTTAATTCGTGGGGATGCTTCCACTGGTATTTTGATTTCTTCAACTGATAGATATCGAAATTATTAATTTTGGAGAAAAATTGATCTGAACTCAATCTCTTGTTCTTGTCAGCCAGGGATATGCATATTTTCATGATGAATTGGTATGAGAAGTTCCCAGAACTTAAGTCCAGAGAACTGTTTCTTACTGGAGAAAGTTATGCAGGTAAGTTTTTGGCGAATTAATAATCACCTAATTTTTGTAAACAGACGGGGTTAACCAATACATGAACTCTAATGGTATTACACGTTTTCATACAGGGCATTACATACCACAGTTGGCTGAAGTTCTACTAGATCATAATGCATATTCAACTGGTTTTAAGTTTAACATCAAAGGAGTTGCCGTAAGAAAACTTGCACTACCCAATGTTCTTTGATAAGAAACAGAAAGGAACATGATATTGGGATCTTATGGTTCTTCTTGTGATTGGTCTAACATTGTTACTTGATTTCTTCATATTTAGATCGGGAATCCGCTTCTCAGACTTGACCGGGATGTTCCGGCGACATATGAATTCTTCTGGTCTCACGGGATGATTTCTGATGAAGTCGGGCTTACTATCATGAATGATTGCGATTTCAATGATTATACCTTTGAAAGTCCTCATAATGTATCCCAGTCCTGCAACAATGCCATAGCTGAAGCAAATAGCATCGTTGGTGATTACATAAACAGTTATGATGTCATTCTAGATGTTTGTTATCCATCTATTGTAGAACAAGAACTACGATTGCGGAAAATGGTAATACTTTTATTTCCCTTCCTTTTGGTAAAAAACAAGGCTGTAACTTCTTAAGAAGAGTTGCATGAACCAACTGAACTAAACCAAGATCATTCAACCGTGCAATGATTCATTTTCCTGATATATGCAGGCCACAAAGATGAGTGTTGGTGTGGATGTGTGTATGAGCCTTGAAAGGCGTTTCTACTTTAACCTCCCTAAGGTTCAGAAGGCACTTCATGCCAATCGCACCAAATTACCTTATCCTTGGAGCATGTGCAGTGAGTAAGCAGATCCAGCACTCTCTTCTATCTTTTGAAATAGTGACCTGCAAAATGGAAATGACTGACTGCATTCATTGTCTTAACTATGTTAGTTCTTTGTAAAATAAAACTAAGCCACAAACTTAAAAGAATCTTATTAATCTTATGGACTATGGTATCTAAAATCAGTGACACTGACATACTTAAAATTTTGCTTACTCCGTGATGACTCTTTTTTTTTCTGCACTGAACAGTCAATTAAGGTACAATGACACTGATGGTAACATAAACATCCTTCCTATTCTCAAAAGAATTATCCAAAATGGACTTCCTGTCTGGATATTTAGGTAAGACCCAGAAATTGTTACTTATTTGCCAACATATAGTCATATAATATATATATGTGTGTGTGTAATTGGTCAAAACTAACGATTGCAGTGGGGATCAAGACTCGGTTGTGCCACTGCTCGGCTCAAGAACACTGGTTCGTGAACTAGCTAATGATTTGAAGTTCAAGATTACAGTTCCGTATGGAGCTTGGTTTCACAAACACCAGGTTTTAATGCAATGTTAACACATCTAAAGCCAGTGCCACTGCTTTGAACGTTTGAAACCTTATTCATTTTCTTGAGTCTATTTTTTGGTTAGGTTGGAGGTTGGGTGACCGAATATGGCAATTTATTGACCTTTGCCACTGTGAGGGGGGCTGCACATATGGTACCATATGCACAACCATCAAGAGCCTTGCATCTATTCAGTTCATTCATACATGGCCGGCGACTGCCGAATAACACACATCCTCCCGTACAAGAATGAGAGAATACTGCAACCGAACGGCAACAGTCTGATAGAGTTGCAAGTTAATTAAAGCTTCAGAATTTGCTCATCTCCAAAAGGTAATAAGAGAATACGGGCGTCGTCACCAGAAGGAAAAGATAGCATAGAGTGTTTTTTTGGTGTATGGATTGTGGGAAAATAAAAGTTGGTTCATTGGTTTAAGATTTATAATTGAACTGCCTGCATCTGACATCTCTCTCAATCAAAGGAATATATAAAATAACTGAAATTTTAAGATGCCAGACCCCATTGCTTGAACCTTGCAATCAATTTTGAAAATTGAGAATCAAATAGTTCATCCCAACAAACAAGTTTTGAACATGTATCCATGCAGAAAGAAAAGGTGAGAGCTATTATGATATTAACAATTCCTCACAATAATAGTAATGTACAATTTTCTTTTCTTTTGGCATTTTGACTAGGGCAATTTGGCTAGTATAACCAAGTCCAAAATCTTGACATCAAGGCTGTCATCAATCCTTACAATCCCATCCGTTCCATCCACACCAATTAACTTACCAGTAACACCACGAAGTGAGCCACCCATGATTTTGATCTTGTCCGATTTCCTTGGTGGCACTATTTCCATCTCACTAGCCATCACAGTTATGGTATCCCCGTTGCCATGTGATCCAAGGGCCACCTTACATGACCCATCCTGTATTAAGGGACCAATTAATTTCCAGACACTCCTATTAGTCCTATATGCTTCACTATAGATAAGGTTTCAACAAGACTTGGTCCAATCATGATGTCTAAAGCCGACTGTTCATTTATGCAGGTAATATGTACAGAACACTAGAATATGCCAAGACAATGCTCCAGAAGATTATGACTCACAAGCACAAAATAAATACATGAACATGTTAAAACCGCATAAAATGAATATAAATGTTAAAAGTTTATATAAATTTGAAATACTTCGGAGAAAAAAAATAAAGTGAACACAACACACATAATTTCACTAAATTGAAACATCATGAATAATTATGCAACATATGAGATGGATTTAGATACAACACAACCAGGGACACATATGAGCAAACATTTTTTTTTTCAAAAAAAAAAAATAATCAATATGGAAAAATCATGCAAAAAATAAAAACGGAATTGAGATGTAATACAAGTAAAACATAAAAAATAATTAAAACCACTATGAAAAATAATATGAAAACGAAATGAATACATGAACGTGTCAAAATATACATAAAAGAATTAGTAATGTATCTACCCACAAAACATTATCGCATAACCAAACATATAATTTATAATTGCAAACCCAATAATACCCAGAAAATTAATGCTATAAGCTCTAGCCTAATGTCCCAGAAACCCCTAAAAGTTTATTGATACCAATGCTTAGGTGTCAATTAAAACATGGATTGAATTTGGGGACAAATTTTAAGATAGTTATACATGTTAGTAACACTGAATTGAAATGCGAGTATTTCACGAAGAAAATCAAAATATCTAATTTTTCACAGTGCTGAAGAACATAACAGAAGGGAATTATATATATATATATGTGTGTACGTGTGTGCGTGTGTGTTAGAAGCAAAAAGAAAATGGGAGAGATGTGTACGTGTGTGTGTGTGTTAGAAGCAAAAAGAAAATGGGAGAGATACCTGAAGCACCTCTTGGATAACTCCAAGAGTCTCATCTCCAGATTTGTGCACATTGACCAAAATATCAGGCATGAACCATGGTCCTTCATTGTCAGCACCTGCAAGCACCCGTGTTAAATTGGAGGGAAGTTCACAGTTTACTTTTTCTTTCTTAAAAGTTTCTGAACCACAATGCTGGAAATAAATCTACTTTAAGCACTCCAGAAAACCCCCATAAGTACTCGAGACTTCATTTAGTCAGTAATAATGAAAAACAGATGCACAAACAATTTGAAAAAAAAAATGCATTCCAGGGTTAACAAAAGAGAACTATAAAAAATATATTTAAGAGCTCTTCAAGATAAGTTCATCAACATTTGGCACCAAAACAGTTCAGATATAAAAAGAATTGATGAATTATACGAGAAATAAAATTAAATCCCATAAAACATCCACTAATGATAGTCAATGACCCAGATAAAAATTGTTAGTTGCTCCAAAAACAAGTGGGGAGACTGAAATAGTACCTATTACAGGAGACATAACATCAAGACCAACAGTTCCAGGTGTCATCAGCTGCCCTCCAGGTGTACCTGGAATATAGGATCCCGATTTTGGTGTCATAGGTTGCCCACTGGGAGTTGATGGCATATAAGGACTAGGAGCATTGGCTGAAACAAACATACAATATGAGAAGTAATAAAGAACACTAACGCATTCAAATAGAAAAAAATAGGCCAAAATATAATTACCATATGCCGAACTGCCATCCCTTGGTGTTCCAGCCTCACTGTAATTACCACCAGGAGTACTACCCCAACCTGAACCGGGAGTAGGTGCTTCATATGCCCTTGAAGGCGGACTTCCAGGCTGAAAGAAACAGCATTACAGTCATTTTACAAAGAAAGAACAAAGTTCTAATTAATTCAGTTAGAAAAATAGCCATATCTCATAGCACCAAACAGTGGAAGAAACCTAACCTGATACTGTGGACTGGTTCCCAAGAGGCAGATTTCCTTCTTCCCAATTAAGGATGGCAAACGGGCGGGTCGGGTGCGCATACCCCCTCCCCATCCCCATACCCACCTAATATTTTTCAATCCACCACCCGCCTACCACCCATGATGGGTATAAATTTTCAAATCCATACCCGCCCACGCGGGTACATTTTCAAATTCATCCCCACACCCACTACCTACTAGCGACATACCCATCTAGACCCGCCTGACAGCAAACTAATGGGATGTTGGAGTTGGTTCCCAGACAGTTCGTGATAGGGTAGCAACGCATGCTACAATTTGTCAGAGGAGTGGCTCTACGAATGTTATGGAGACAGATTGTAGGGAGCATGTAGTCGCAGAGCTGGATTGTTGAATTGCTTTAGATGTTAATGCTCATAGTGCGCCTAATATGGGTTTTGAGAGACTAAAGAACATGGAAACTGCTGCTTTTGATGTTAATGCATATAGTACGGCTAATTTGTGTTTGGATGGGCAACATGGGCTAAAGAACATGGAAAATGACGTGGTTAGTGGGATTATATGTTTAATCAAAGAGCCGAATATTTCCCTAATTAAAGACCAAATATCCTTAATATTTAGTTAAATTATATGTTATATATTATACAATATTAAAATTTATAAATTAGTCTCTAAAATTACACATAAATTTATAATGGTCCAAAATTTAATAGATATTTAGCTGGGCGGGCGGATGTGGGGCGGGTAATGTCTCAAACCCATTACCCGCTCACCACTCTCGACGGGTACCACTTTATAAATCCACACCCGCCCACTACCCGCTAAAATTATACCCATCCCCGCTCCAATTGGAGCGGATGCGGTGCGGAATCTACGAAACTGTACCCGTTTGCCATCCCTATTCCCAATTATCCCTATTTTTCAGTCTTCATAATAAACCAACCACCCGTTAATCAGGTATGAATTGAAACCGTTAAATACATGATGCACTAGATATATGGAATCGACAAATAAACCTGGGCGGACTCATTGGTGCATAAGGATTCCTTGCCCTGTCACGCATAGGTGTTCTCATGCCATCATGGATTGGTGTAGCTGCAGAGAACATAAAAGTAACACATTATTATTGATTTAGTAAATAACAATATTAGTGCGCAACGGAAGTATCCACACGAATTCATGAAGAAGAAGAAAAAACACCTCCGGGATCTCTCATAGGAGTCATGTATGGATGTAAAGGAGTTCGTGAAGGGTGCATAGGTGTCTCACTTCCCATACCATATCGAGATGTATCCCTAGTGAAAAAAAATTGTACAAAATCAGAGACATATATAACAAGAGATTTTTCATAGTACAAAAAATAAAAAGGATGTTAAGGAAATCATATTTACCGGTGGGGTGTTGAAATAACTACATTATCAGATACAAAATTGCGGTCAACTGCAGACACTAACAAGTTTTACAAGTTATAAGGATGCTAGACAAAGGAGAAAACATTTCAAACATTAATCTGAACTTGCCTGTAACAACCCTCATTTGAGACTCCAACTCAACTCGAACTGATTGACCTTTAATATCAACACGTCCACGATAACCCTTAAAAGGGCCCTGTCGAATTTTCACAGTAGTACCAATCAAAGCATCATGTCCTCCTCTACCACCTCGGTGTCTCCCACCAGCTGTTTTGAAGAGTCAGAAGTTAATAGCATCAAGGTTCAAATGAAACTTAATCACTTAACTAGAAAACTAATAATTCAGAGAAATCCAATCCAATAGCCATGTTTGTACAAGGATAACAAAATCGACAAACAATCAAACGGAGGCCCTCCCCTAGAAAATCTCCTTGGTGATGGTGGTACACGTGGTGGGGCCTTGAAGCTACCAAATCTCGATAAAGAATCGCCCTAAAAGAATGAATCAAGAGCACTAACCTCAATGAAATGATGAAAATTAAATATAAATTGTCGGAACCACCTTTCGGTCGGGTTCGGAATTGAGCTTCAACTTGGATTAAACAAATTGAAGTCACCACCGATCATTTATTTTAAACAAAATGGGTTGACCGAATACTTTATTTCTTACTTGGTCTGCGTCTTACCAGAAATATATCGAATTCGGGAGTCGGTTACAGTCAAGGAAGTGTTATCACTCTTGAATAGGGGTGTGCAAAATTACCCGACCCGGATCGAAAAAAACCGAGTAATTTTCTTTAAAAAATACCCGATTCCGGGTCAGATCCGGGTTAGGCCCGGGTCACAAAAATTGATTTTTCCGGGTACCCGGTTAAGTTTGGTGAAATTTCTATTGGCTTTTGCTTTGTGTTTAGTGAAATTTCATGGCTTGGGTCCAAATGGGTTTCTTTTAATTTGATTGAATTTATAAATATATCCAGTTTGTGTTAAATGGTATGAGATAGAGCTTTGCTGGTTTAAATTCTTTGCAAGTTTGAAGCTTTCCTGTTATCAATTTAACATATCTTGATGGTATTCCTTTACAGGTTTTGATGTTCATTTTTGGAAGAAAATCCTGGGGATGAAGCTAACAGGTGGGGTTTATTTTGTGTTTTTTCCCCTTTGACAATGATCCCATTTGCGTTCGGCCACAGTTAATCCTTACGATTATGATTTTGGAAGCTAGTGGAAAGCTAGATGATATCACTGTGATTCTAGCAATGCTGGGAATTTGGTTATTCCTATGAAGTATGAACTCTGTTCCAATATGCATCTGTTAGGTTTTTGTTTCAATTAGTTTCTGATGAAATTTTAGTGTTGTTTAATAATTTGTGTGTTTTTTTATTTAATAATTTGAAGGAAAAAATTCGGGTATTCGGGTACCCGACATACGGATACCCGCAAAATCCGGGTACCCAGAATATCAGGGTCGGGACACGGGCCGAGAAATCACTGACCCGGATTTGCACACCCCTACTCTTGAAATGCTCTTTCGGTACTACGTAATTTCCAGTTGTCTTAAATTAAGAAAATTATAATTTAAATTAAAAGGTAAAATATCGATCCAAGTTACTTACCTTTGATTAATTGAAATACCTTTAAAAGATAAAAATGTTAGATTCGTAGTGGAGTATAAAATTGAATTGAGATAACAAGTGCGCAAATAAAATAATAAACAGAACAAGAAAAAGAAAAAAATAGAACAAGTAAAAAAATAATAATAAAAACAAAATAAATAAAATGGTAAGAAACAAAGATAAAAGAAAAAAAATTAATAGAATAAAAAACACGAAAAAAATAAAAGAAATTAAAAAATAAAATAAAAATAATGTGTATATATATAATGTTAGGAGAAAAAATAAACGAAAGCAAAATAAAGAAAACAATAAATAAAGTAAAATAAGGGGAAGCTCCCACTATATTAATGCATCGAAGACAAAAAAAAGTAAAAAAGAGGGGACATGGAGGCTCGAAGAAAAAATGTGAGGAAGAAATTATTATATAATAATTATAATAACAATAAAAAATGAGAAAAATAAAAACAAAACCAACCTACGCAACGAAAATATAAAAATTTGGTAGAGACAAAACAAAGGAGGAGGGGGCTAGGAATTAAAAAGAAGAAAAGTGAGATAAAAATTTGTTAGATAATATACACACACACATATATATATATATATAGATAATACAATACTTAATATAAAAATAAATAAATAAATAAATAAAAACACTAAAAATATATATAACGTTGGTATTAGGATATTAGTGAAAAAATATAAATAAAATACGTGTATATATACATAATATAAAATATCTAAAAATATGAGAAAATATATATATATATATATATATATAATAAATAAGGAAAAAGTCCAAAAAAATATAAAAATAATATATATATATATATATATATATATATATATGATGTAATAAAAATGGTCAAAATAAAATAATTTAAAAAAATTAAAAGTATATATATATAACGATAGAATATAAAATAAAATAATAAAAAAAGAATAACCAAATGAAAATAATTAAAGACATATATATATACACGTAATAATAAGAATGAAAAATATCCATGTAATAAATAAATGACTAATATAAAAGAAAAACTAAAATTGGGGCCAAATTTGAAAGACAATTAACGTTGGTATTGCGCATTAGGGGACAAAATTAAAGGTTTTAAACATCAGAGGGTCCAAAAGAATAGTTTACCCCTTTTTAAAGACAAAACACGCAGAGCCTTACGTATTTGGGTCGGGTCGGGCGGTCTGATGGTTTTGGTATGAAACCAAAAAATTTCTTTTAACCTTCATTTGTAAGGTTTTCAGCTGAGAGCCCCTTCACTTTCTTTCTTCATCCTCTCGCCTGTTCATCAAGGATGAAGAACACAACCCGGTTTCCCATATTCCGGCACCGCGCCACCGTTCATCGATGGCAATCCTTGAAAAAGATTCGATTTTTAAAAGCTCTTTTCTTCTTTTATCCGAAAACCGAGTTCTTTTCCCCAAAATGGGCCTCGGGATTACTAGATCTGAAAAAATAGATCTCGACAACCTTTCCTGTTCATCAGCCAAAAAATGTTTTTTGGGTTTTCGAGTAAAAAAAACTCAAAAGCAAAACAACATACAAAGAAGAGAAATGAACAAACAAGGTAAAAAACTACCTTTTTTTATTTCTCTGATTTCGAATGTATACAAGCCTTTGTTTGCGCGTAATGTCTTATGGAATCGTGTGTTTCCTGTAAAAACAGTACCTATTTCGTGTATCCCCCTATTGTTCTAGTTACATGCATATTTATAAGTACAAAAGAAACCTATTTCTAGAGTTTGATTCCGAGTAAAACTCGGTTATTTGATGCTCCACGACTCTGACTCGTCATTTGGTTGGTTGTGAATGAGTCACTTTGACTCACGTTTGTTGCAGGCTGAGAAAACCGGCGGGGAACCTGGTTGTTGGGGAAGCAGCGTGCGGTGATGGGTCTTCGAAGGTTGGGGATGCGTGAGGAACGACACTGGAGCAAAGGGTTAAGAATGAAACCATATCTGACTCATATCGTGGACCGTTAGATCATATCTCGATCCAATGGTCGAGGCACTTGGCGGCTGGGGGTAGAAGATGTTTAGGGTTTTAGAAACCCTAATATGTTATTAGTCACGTGCTTGTTGGGTCTGGACTACTGAGCATTGCTGGGCCATGTAACGGGCTGTTTGGGGGGCCTGTGATATGTAAAATAAATATACGTGAATGTTTGTCCAACATGTGTAATAAATTATTATATAATATAATATATAATATAAGTATATTATATAATATCAAAGGATAAAATTTGGTGTCTTTAGCTGCCCTTCTTTGCTCATTATCTTGTAACGAAAATGGAGCAAAGATTACATGACACAAATTTTATCTATACCGAACATCCTCCGATATTGAGACTGATCTGGCGAAGTGACTCCCTCGCTGTGAGGTTGAGTTGAACTGGAGACTCGGATCGTGAAGGTGAAACTTCTCCTGAAGACATCGGTGTTGATGTGTCACAGATGACTCTTTCGTCGTGAAGTTAGGTCAATCTGTTTGTGAAGTTGGAATTGTATGGCCCATTCGTCATGAAGTTGAGCCTAGGAATTGGATATCCTTTGTCGTGAAGTTGAAATCCAATGTAAGTTGCGTTGTTTCGAGGCCAATATCCTTCGTCGTGAAGTTGAAATTGACTCTGAAACTGGAAAGTTTATTGACAGACACTCCTCCTTTGAGTTGAATATCATTCGTCGTGAAGTTGAAATCCAATATGGAGATAGATGCTGCTTGTGTGCACGATTCCCTTCGTCGTGAAGTTAAAACCGCGGGTGGCCCCTTCGTCGTGAAGTTGAGCCTGAGAATTGGATATCCTTCGTTGTGAAGTTGAAATCCAAGTATTGTTCCGAGTCCAATAGCCTCCGCCGTAAAGTTGAAATTGGTTCTGGAACTGGGAAATTGTTTATTGACAGTCAGCCGCCCCTTCGTTGTGAAGTTGGGCTTGTGCTGTCTTGAGTCTAATATCTTTCGTTGTGAAGTTGAAATTGACTCTGAATGAAATTGAAAAGTTATTTGTTGACAATCAGCCGCCCCTTCGTCGTGAAGTTGAGCTTGTGTTATCTTGGGTCCAATATCATTCACTGTGAAGTTGAAATTGGTTCTGAAATTGGTTCTAAAATTAGGAAGCCCCTTCGTCGTGAAGTTAAGCCCCGAATGGCACAATATCCTCTATCGTGGAGTTGAAATCGTGGATGTGTGGGTACGATATCCTCCGTCATGGAGTTGAAATCGCAGATAGCCCCTTCTTCGTGAAGTTGAGCCTTGATTTGAATATCCTTTGTCGTGAAGTTAAAATCCAAGTATTGTATGTTGCGGGTGGACACAATTCCCTTCGTTGTGAAGTTGAAACTATGGATGACCCTTTTATTTTGAAGCTTGGCTTCGAGCTAGATATCTTTCGTCGTGAAGTTGAAATCTACTCTCGAACAAATTGTGTCACTTCGAGTTCAATATCCTTCGCTGCGAAGTTGAAATTGACTCTAGCTAAAACCTGAAAAAAGTTATGCATATATATGATGCTATGAATGCAATGCCCTTTGGTGTGCCTAAAATGCATATGCAACATATGTTATCTTGGGGCTCTGGAGAGAAATCTCGATCTCCGGTTGCTTGTATGGAATCTTGATTTTGGAATCTTGAAGTTCTGATCCCTGGTCTTGAATTCTTCAAATGTTGAAATCTGATGTGTATATTTTGTTTTTTTGATCCTTGATATGGGAAATACTTCTCGACCATCTTAAGTATGTGCATGAGCCTTGATTGGCTTCCGGGTACATGTAATTTTCAATGAATCTTTGTACAGTAATATGCGATTATCTTTTGCATAAGTAGATAAATCATTGAGTTTAAGTTCAATCCAAGATGCTCAAAAGGAA